TTATAGCCAATTAACCCTAATTACTATCCCTGTTGACAGTTGGTTTCTCCTAATTCATTCGATATCCCCTCTCGGGCTCAACCAAAAGTATTCTCAATTAACAACCCATTCTCTCTCGAGCAACGGATTTAGAAAACTAAGAACCCATTAAGTTCTATGAGAACCTACAAGAAAACTGCATGAGTCATGTTAGTCCCTCTCGGGCACTCATTCAAGTCATGGTATTTGTTACAAGAAGCAAACACCAAACATCTCCTCTCGGTCTCCGCTTGGATCATCAATTAAATATTAGCTAGATATTTAAATCATTAAGAACAGTAACAAATACTCAACATGGGATAATAATAAGGAATTAATATAACTATAAAAATTGAGTATTCATGGTTAGGCTACATCGTAGCCCTAGCAAGGGAAATTAGTTCATGACAGAAGAAAATATAAACAAGAGAATTATTGTCATAAAACCAATTTGGCCGATGGACTTGATCTTCAGAATCTTCACAGGAACACCTTCAAAAGCTCCTCAAATAATGCAGCAGCAAATTCTTGGCTTCCTCTGATATTTCTCTGGGTGTATGAAAGTTGGTGGAAAAATATGGTAGATGATGGTGGAAAAAGGTGATACCATGAAGAGATCCTAGGGTGACCTTATATAGTATAAAACAACTAAACCCTACTTCAAAAAGGTCTAGAAAAACTCTCCTAAAGCAAAACAAAATCTCAAACAATTAAGGAAACAAACTAGGAAAGAATCCTTATTTGACTTGGAAACACGTCAGCCAACTTGCACGCACGTTTTGGGGTCGTTCCACTTCCTAGAAAATTCTGGAAAAATATGAGAAACGTAGCTTTATCTCTAAGCTTTCCAAGCATATATTACACACCACTAGGAAAAATCGGAAAGATATTCAAATCTTCACTCTTCCACAGCAGTGCAGTTCTGACGGGATTTCAACTTAGGCTGTCTTGACTTGCAGGTCTGGAGCATTTGGCTTGGTAGAAAATTATGAAACTTTGATACAATGATCTTCAATGTCTTAGCTTTCTTCTACAATTGGTCTTGCACTAAAATGCATTCGAAAAGTTGATTTTCAGTTGAAATCCTTCCAAGAGCGCAGAATAGCTGAAAATAAGGAAAGTAAAGTAATAATACTCTTTTTAATTAACTTTCCCCACAAAACCTACATATAAAAGGTGTAAAAATATAGGAAATAATACACTTATCACTCGGCACAATACTCAAGCTACATCTTGAGCATTACCATTGGTAGTGGATGCTGAGGCTTGAAGATGCAACTCAATAATAAGTTAGCCTATCCCAGTTTTGGTGTTATTTGGGAAATTCTTCTGAAAATCTATCAGAGATGTCTTTTCCCTTTGGATGCCATTACAATTTTACAAATTCTTGAAACATGTAAACTTTAACTAGGAAGAATAAATCCTACGGATGGAGATGGATCATTCAATGAAAAATGTATCACCCTTATTCTGTTCCGCCCTTTTTACGTGGTTTATTATTTATCAAGAAATTGAACTTATATTTAGAAGAGGACTAAAGTTGGCATAAAGATAGAGAGCTCAAATGGTTCTAAATATGTGCTTTATTCTTTGCTTGCGGTTCTACCAAAGAATGATTATATTAGCAAAGAAAAGGAATGAACAGATGCAAAGCCAAGTTCTATACTTAAGAGTAAGACACCTTCGGATCAGATGCAAAGCCAAGTTCTATAAATTTCCATATTCCGCAGGAGATTTGTATATAACAGCAGACTGTAGTTCTATTGCATTCATCAAAGTAGCCATTTATCGATACATACAAAAACTCCCTTTCCTCTCCTTTGGATTCAGCATGGGGCAATTTGTCTATACCATTGCAGAGAATGTCATGAATGGGCTAGCTTCCTATGCTTACCAAGAAATCTGCTTGGCGTGGGGTGTCACAGATGAACTAAACAAGCTTAAGGACACCTTCTCAAGCATCAAGTTAGTGATCCTGGATGCAGAGGAAAAGCAAAGGAAGGAACTCCGTCTGAGCCAATGGCTAGGAAAGCTCAAAGATGTTTGCTACGATGTAGATGACATGCTTAACGACTTTGCATTCAAAGAACTGCAGATGCAAATGCTGATCCTCCGTGGGCGTGGGAGCATCAAAGGACAGGTACGCATATTCTTTTCGTGTTGGAATCCGGTCGTGTTTAACTTCAAAATGGGTCATAGAATCAAGGAGATTAGAGAAAGGTTAGATGTAATAGCAAATGAAAAATCTCAGTTTCCTCTAGTGGAGAGAGATGAAGATTGGCAGAGTCAGAGTGTGCACATAAAGAGGGAGACTCACTCTTTTGTGCAAGCCTATGATGTTATTGGGAGAGAGGACGATAAGAAACAGATTATCATCTATCTCTTGAACTTGACCTTGAAGGAAAAGAGTCGTGATGTCCAGGAAAATGTTTCTGTTATATCGATTACTGGATTAGGAGGTATAGGAAAGACTACCCTCGCTAAATTGGTGCATAATGATCATAGGGTAGTTAAACACTTCGACATGAGAATGTGGGTATGTGTTTCAGACCACTTTGATAATAAAAGACTGGTGCATGAAATCGTTGCTTCTGCAACTAACCAAAACTGTGGTGATCAAGAAAGTTTTGATAGTGTGCAGAAAAAGTTGCAGAGTGCTTTGAAAGAAAAACAATTTTTATTAGTGTTGGATGATGTTTGGGATAAGGGTCAAATTGGAGTAACAATTACAAAATGGATTGATTTAAAAGCTTTGTTAAATGTTGGAGCAAACGGGAGTAAAGTCATTGTCACAACGCGTAGCGAATCAGTTGCTTCGATTATGGACTCTGTTTGCGTGCATCAACTGAGAGGTCTTCCCCACAAGAGTTGCATGTCTTTGTTCATAAAAAGGGCATTTGGTCGAAAAGGAGAGGAGCAGCGCTATCCACACTTGATGGAAATTGCACCTGGTATTGTAGAGAAGTGCGAAGGGGTTCCTCTAGCCGTAACCACCCTGGGGAGCCTGCTGTATTTGAAAAGGGAGAAACATTTTTGGTCAGAAGTGAGAGAGAATGACATATGGAGATTGCCACAGGGAAACGATGACATTCTACCTGCACTGCAATTAAGCTACGATGCATTGCCAACTTACTTGAAACCTTGTTTTGCCATTTGTTCACTTTTCCCTAAGGATTACGTTTTCCGAAGCACAGATTTGGTGTCGTTGTGGATGGCACAAGGCTTCATTCAATCCTCTAAAGGAAACCAGGAGTTGGAAGAGATCGGCCTAGACTACATAAGGCAATTATGCTCTAGATCTTTATTTCAAATTGATGAAGATTCAATTGATTTTATAGTATTCAAAATGCATGCTCTTGTGCATGATTTAGCCTTGTCTGTGTCAGAAGAAGAGTGCTCATCTGTAAACTTCCGTCCTACCTCTGATAACTGTAAAAGGGTTCGACAGGTGTCGATGTCGGAGGATGACTTGCCCATGAAGGGGGAACGAGTTCCCGAATTCTTACGTCAGTTGAAGAAAGTGAGGACCATTCTGTTTCCAGTTCCAGGGCATGTAGGTATCTCCAGCAAATCTGTGTTGAAAGCATGCATCTTGAGATTCAAGTACCTACGGGTCCTGGATTTGAGTGGCTCAACTTTTGAGGTGTTACCGAGTTCCATTGGTAAATTGAGTCGCTTGAGATATCTCAACTTGTCGAAAAATCCATTCATAAAGAAGCTTCCAGGTTCCATTTGCAACCTGCTGAATTTGCAGACCTTGCTGCTTTCAAACTGTGAGAAGCTCAGGGAGTTGCCCAGAGACATCGGGAACCTGATCAACCTCAGAACATTGGTGTTAACCACAAGTCAGATGGTTTTGGCAGGATGCATTGAACGCCTCACCTCTCTTCGATTTTTACAGGTCCACAATTGTAGCTATCTTGAATCTTGGGGCCAAGGCATCCAATGCCTCACTAACCTCCGAATGCTGATTATTAGCAACTGTGAGAATCTGAAGTCGTTGCCACCCGACATGAAATGCTTAACCGCATTAAAGACTTTGGGTATCTCCGGTTGCGAGAAGCTCGACTTGATGACGTCGGGAGCAGGTATTCGAGGTCTTCGATCAGTCTCCATCTCCAAAGCTTTGCACTTGGAGGCTCTTCCCCATTGGCTTCAAGACTCTGCAAACACACTGCAGAGCTTGCATGTTAAGAACTGTGAGGATCTCAAGGAACTTCCAGAGTGGCTGCAAAACTTCAAGTTGCTCCAGCAACTGGTGATTGAATATTGCCCTCAATTGTTGGCTTTACCACAAGGGATGCGTCACCTGGGTGCATTGAGATTATTGAAGATCGACGGGTGTTCTAAACTGAGCGAAAGATGCGAAAGCAAGGAAGGTGCAGATTGGCCCAAGATTGCTCATGTCAGTAAGATTACACTTGACGGAGAAATTATCGCCTCAAAAGATGATTAGGTCATTCATTGATCTTTTCATTTTCATGTGTTTTTTATTTCTATCTTTTATTTCTTTTTTCTCGGTGGATGTATTGTCAAGTCGGCAAGAGAATACTGCTGCCGTTTTACACGTTCATGTAACTTTTACAGATGACAAACCAATTTATAAAGTGCTATTGTCCATTTTTGTCTTGATGCAAATTTTTTTTCAAAGTTTTCTTGACCACAAATATCACATATTTAATTAGCATCAAATGGAGCAATTTGGATTAGAGAATAATCTCCACGTAAACACAGGTCACAAGGAACAATAAATACGACAACCTGGTTCCAGTACATTTGAGTGTCTCGTCTTAAAAAATACAAGGTATATAGTTCAATAACAGAATAAATGTTGGTGACCTAATTAGTAATTACCCTGAACAATTAGACTACTCTCAGCCATCAGCTAAACAATAAAATCATAGAAGAAAAAGTGAAAGAACGAAAGACGAAGCAAAAAAAAAAAAAAAAAAAAAAAAAAAAAAAAACACACAACACGAAGAGCCCTCAAAATTTAGCCTTACATGGGCCATGGTACAAATTCTCTGTTTCATGTTTATTACAATTATTTTTAAGCCCCCAAACATAATTCTGCATCGTGTTTATCTTCGACTTCACTGAATACTGTCTCCTCCCTATAATCTCGACAGAATAGCAAATGAAAACCTTGCAAGCAGATATATAAAATAAAATGGAGACAACTGCATATCACAACATACTTCAGACATTAGCCACATACCTCATTAGTGTGGGAACATCAATCTTACACCTCTCAAACAAATAATATATATGATTCTGTATATGAAATGTGCTTATTCAGGCTGTTGGAATTCAAGATCTAGTTTCCTCTTTAGATGCGTTCTGTCAGCACTGCAGAAGAAAAAGAAAACAAAGAATTTTATATCTCCAACGTTTAGATTTCACTTCAAGCTAAAGTGTCAACTATCATGCAGATTTGTGTGAGTACAGAGGTTTAAAAGAATTAGAAAAGACCATGTAAAAAAGTGATTTACCTAGTAATTGTAGGTCTATTTGGAGGTTTTGCTCCCCTGTCTGGTTTCACCAACACGATCATCAATCCTATCACCTTGGTATGCATTTCCTTCAAAACCCTCACGATCTGGCATCACTCTCCTTGACTTTCGTGGAGGTGATAACACAGTAGGACCATCATTTGGATTAAAATCTGAAACCTTAGAATTGACAGATTCTCGCTTTGGAGCAGGTCTAGGAAGTTTATCTGGATAAGTAGGCAGAGGCGCAGATGTAAAGTACCTAAACAGGACCACAGAGATCATAGGCAGAACAAAAAGAGAAGACAAAAAACTCTAGATACTAATTCAATAGCTAGAGTCAGATACCTGTGCTCTAATGCCTGCTGCACGGATATCCTAACTTTTGGGTCATAAGTAAACATCTTCGCTAACAAATCCAGGGCATCATCACTAGCCACTGGAAACAACGACCGCAAAGGGGGTGCTGGAACATATTGGTATTCCACATAATCAGGAAGAAATACCATATCAGGCCATTGAGAAGGCGTTGGAGTCCCAAAAGCCGCAAAAATTTTACCTAGTTGATCAATATCACTTGATCCCTATCAAATATTGCAAGCCAAACCAACATATAATCAGATACAGCTGCACCCAGTATAAACATTATTTATAGACAGCCTATGGAGAGCAATAAAAGAATTATACATGATCAACCATTGCAAAACATAACCTGACCGGTAAGAACTTAATAAAAAGTGAGACAGATTCATGCTATTCAACAAAGTAAATTAAAAAAAAATTGATTCATTACAATAGTCAGTAAAAGATATTGGCCCGTGAAACCTGCAGTAATTCTAAAACCAAACAAACAACAGAAGAAAGGCTAAAGGATCTATTACTGGAAGAACCATAATTCATTTCAACTGGATAAACATTCAGAAGAAATGAGAGAAATCTATTCAAAAGTAAAATGATCCCAAAACTGAGAGGTGCCTCTTATAATGAACTCAGAAAGATATAACCCAATACAGGATTTTTTCTGGCCATAATATAATACCTAACAAAGTTCCACCTGGTTTTTATCCATTACTAGAAACAAGCATTTGTAAAACTTAAAAGCCACATATTTCCAATGGAAAACAGTAACCATAAAAACAGAGTTTCATTACTACTATGAAATATTGCTTTACCTGCAAAAATGGTCTGCGTAGGAGAAGTTCAGCGAATATACAAGCTGCAGCCCAAACATCCACCCCAGACCCATATTGCTTGGTGCCAAACAACAGCTCTGGTGCTCTATACCATCTAGCAAAGACCTATTCAGATGCGCTAAGGGGTTATAAAGAGCTTGCACCTAAAAGCATGCAAATGATTTAAAGAAAAAGTACTTCTAATGGTACATAAAATAAACATCATCTTTGTTCTCTAACTAAGCTTTGAAGGAATCCGCCAAAGAATCAAATATTTCAAAATAATTTCCACACCAGATATGCAGTCTATTCATAATTTAAGAAAACAAAAATGAGAAAAACGTCCAGTTTTAGAAGACTAGTTGTTGTACCATCTATAGGAAAGTCTTCCTATCTTAAAGCCATTCAAAAAACATTTCATTCTTGAAGCAATACCTCCAGATTTGTTTTATATATTCGGCATATATATTATAACAACTAATACCAGTATCAACAAGATAATAAAAGAAAATTGTTTGTAACAGCAATAAGCTACATAGTACACTGCCATTAAAACCTTAGCATTACTCCCACTTTCTCGAGTGCTATTTTCACTAGCAGATGAAACTAAGTGAAATATTAAAATTTAGCTTCGGTTACATGAAATCAGTAAAAGAAGACCAAACTTCAAAATTTTCCATCCTCCCAAACCCACATGATCCACAGATACATTTGCTACCATAAGGGGATGATAAAACATTTAATAGTAGAAACAGGATACATTCACCACCATGGAGAGGACGTTTCTGGGACAGGTGAAGATCGACATTAAACCAAACTCACAGCGTAAAGGACAAACAAAGTTTGCAAACTATACCTTAAGAGATCTAACTCAGAATACCATCAATATAAGGAGAAAGCATACCTGGTGAGTGAACCTGCGATCTGGGCTCCCAAATACTCGTGCTAAACCAAAATCTGCAAGTTTAAGCTGTCCGTTAGGTCCTATCAACAAGTTGTTAGGCTTCATATCCCTGTAAAGCACAATTAGCAAACATCTGAGACAAATGATAACAAGCAAATAATGACCTACAAAGATCGCTTCTAGACACAAAAGGGCTACCTGTGTAAAACCCATTTCTTGTGGCAAAAAGCAAGTCCTTTTAAAGTCATCTGAAGATATGACTTTATGTCAGCTGGTGATAGGAATATATTTCGGTCACGTATAACAGCTTCAAGGTCTGTCTCCATGAACTCAAATACTAGATGCAAGTTTCCTTTATGGGGGAATGCATCAATCAACTCAATTATATTTGGATCTTTCAGCTCTTTTAACAGTTTAATTTCTCTAAGTGCTGTAAAATTCACCCCTTCCTTTTGCTTCCCAAGCCGAATTTTTTTAATAGCAACTGTCTGTCCTGTCTGCAAAAGAAATGTATTGAAACAAAATCATAAACAGACGAGATTACTTATCAAAGTCATAATGCTGCATTCAGTTTGCAAATTAAATAAAAAACAAACAATGAAGGTGTATAAGAAAACGAAAAGGAAACTTTAAACAGCCAGCCACCACTTCAAAAAGAATAACAATTCATTAGTGGCATTTTGTAGCTAAGAAAGGTGAAAAACCAAAAAGACCAAGGAGGAGCATATGCAATTTACCATTCTCCAATCCTGGGTCAGCATAACAGCAAAAAAAAGAGACAACATTAGGTTAACAAATTACATTTCGAGGGCGACTAAATATTAAATGTCTGCATTAAAACCCAATTGAGATCAAGTTTCTAGGTATGAAAAGAAAAAATCAATTCGAACCTATAATTTTCCAGGACTTTCAGACCCAGGAAAACAAGACCCTCAACACAAAGCTGTTTAGCTTTACGTCTCCAGAGTCTCAATTTCATAATTTAACCCAAACAGCAAGAAGAAAAGAATAGCTTTGCATGTACACATAAATGCAATTATACAATCCCATTTAATATTTCACTTCCCCCCTGCTTCTTCAGCATCCAAACCCAAAGACCACCAATATAGAAGAAAAAGTGAAATTGTTTTCCCTGTCACAACTCAAATTTCTGAGCAGCGAAGCAAGTGCTAAACCAAATTTCACGCACACATACACAAACATAACAAATTCTCAAACCTTTTAAACTCGAAAAGTCAAATACAGCACAAAAAAAAACACACACAAAAAACACTTATCCATAATTTTTTTTTAAAAACCCCTCCGACGAAAGCGAAGTGTTGGGGCTTACCTGAGTATCAATGGCTTTGTAGACGACTCCGTAGGTACCTTCACCGAGGACCTCGCGCTTCAGATATCTATCGGCCACTTTCTTCGTTAGATCGACCTCTGCCATTGCGGTCTCCGAGTTATCACTGCACTAAAAAAATTCTTTATTTACCGTTTTACAAGTGAGATTTTTGGGTGAATCTGCTATTCACAATTGGGAATTTTCTAGGCAAATCATTTTCCAGAGAAAAAACTCTAGGGTTTTAACATTGGTGCAGAGAGAAAGCCGTTGAAGGCCAGAGAGAGAGAGAGCGTGTTGAAGCAACGTCTATAGGACTGTGTATAGACTATACCGCTTTAACGTTTTTTTCTTTTTCTTTTAGTTTTGTTTATTCTGTTGTTTCCCCAGAGGGTCTCTTTTTAATATTAACGTTTGTCCGGGGCTGTTTTAGACTTTTCAGCCTCTCATATCTTACTGTTCGGACGTGGGCTGAGGAAGGAAAGCCCAAGATTAACTAACATAGTCCCGCCCAACCCATATTCATATTCATAGGCCTGCCCGTATTTATTTGCCTGGACTTTTCAGTCTGCGTCATATTCCGCAAGCAATGATGTCATCAACTGAACAAACAAGTCGTCTTCTTTTTTGGATTTTTAATTTGAGGTAAATTCAATGTTGGAGGTTATTATATAATAATATAGTATTCGTTTGGGCAGACTGAATGCTAGAAATTGACCTACTTTAATTTTCTGAATATTCAAAACATTAATGTATGTTTGTTGACTATTGAGGATCCATCCATGAAATGAAATGAAGCTGTTGTTGAACATTCTAAATTACAAGATCCAAAACCCATATAAATATTATCAACAAAATTGCTACGAGGTGTTGATTGAAAATGGAAGGTGTGAAGCTAATTGCCACAACTCAAAGCCTGTTCTGCACAAGGATTGAGTGGGCTCTAAAGCTCAAGGGTGTGGAATACGAGTACATAGAAGAAGACTTGAGAAACAAGAGTCCCATCCTTCTCAAGTACAACCCTGTCCACAAGAAGGTGCCTGTGTTTGTGCATGACGACAGAGCCATTGCCGAGTCGCTTGTGATCCTTGAGTACATTGATGAGACATGGAAGGAGCACCCCTTGCTACCTCAAGACTCATATGACAGAGCCATAGCTCGCTTTTGGGCTAAATTTGCTGATGAGAAGGTAGTACCCTTTTCCTCTAACCCCAATAAAAGCTTTCTCCCAAACTATTTTGATCTTGTGCTTGCTTATAACCAGGTTGTGTTTGGAGCATGGAGAGCTTGCACGGCAGCGGAAGGCGAAGAGAAGGAGACGGCAATAGAGTCTGCACTAGAATCACTAGCATATCTTGAGAAGCAGATTGAAGGGAAGAAGTTTTTTGGTGGAGAAGAAATTGGGTATCTAGATTTAGCATTGGGATGGATACCTCACTGGCTGAATACCATGGAAGAAGCTGGAGGCATGAAGCTACTTGAAGCAGAGAGGTTCCCATCTCTGCATGAATGGGGTCACAACTTCATCCAAATTCCACTCATCAAAGAATGCCTTCCACCCAGAGAAAAGCTTGTCAACTATTTGAACGCTAGCCTCACTTACTTGCGTTCATTATCAGCCAACAAACCCTGATCTCAATTAGTTGGCTTGGCTGCCAACAGAAGAGAAAATAAAGAAACATTTTTATTTACATCTGAATCTGATTACTGTTTTGAGTCTTACTACTGTTGCTATTATGTATTGTTTTTACTTCCCATTTGGGCTTGTGTCTTGCTTGTCTATTTGTCTAAACTAGAATTAATGATGCATTATCTTTCTGAATGAAAATCCAACTTTTGTGCTACCTTCTTGGCATTGCATTTGGATGGGATACAACCAGACCAGCTGAAGACATATATTTACAGACTTGTCAAACAAATAAAGCAGTTCAAAGTAAGGCAGATGGACCTAGAAAAAGTTAAACTATGGCCATAGTCGTGTGCGTGCACCTAGTTTTCTTTGACACATCAAATTTCTAGAAGAGGGTCCAATTGCCCATCCATGGATCATGATGCCAGAAACAAATTCTATCCTTAGTTTGAAAGTTCAACCGACCACCCTTGGATATTTTCATTCATGGCTTCCCTATGTAAGAGATGCGATATATCATATGGGAAACTGGGGCCACTCAATATGGTCATCTTGGTAATTAAAATTACTAAATAAAATCAATTATTTATGGACTTACGAGTCATAAACATGAGAATTGGACTTAATTACAACTTTCTCTTCAAGAAATGAACTGACAGACCTTTCCAAATCCCACCTGTATAAAGTTCAAACCAAGGCTTCAAAAGATTGAAAGCTTGGTTCAATTTCAGAACTTGCAGGCTTCAAAATGGGAGATGTTAAGGTGATTGGAGCCTCTCTAAGTCTTTTTTGCTGCAGAATTGAATGGGCTCTGAAGCACAAAGGGATAGCATATGAGTACATTGAAGAAGATTTGAGAAACAAGAGTCCCCTGCTCCTTCAGTATAATCCCGTCCATAAGAAAATCCCAGTGCTTGTGCATGGTGAAAAACCGATTGCGGAGTCCCTCCTCATCCTTGAGTACATAGATGAAACATGGACAGAGAACCCTATGTTGCCAGAAGATCCTTTTGAAAAAGCAATGGCGCGATTTTGGGCAAAGTATGTTGATGAGAAGGTAAACAATTTGTGATGGATTTTAATAGCTCTCAGTTTGAGAGAGTTTGCTATTATTACAAGACTCAGATACATGCGCGCAAACACAAACATATATGAATGCATGTATATGTACTTATACATTTATATTATACATACATGTATTGAAAAGAGAAGCTAATAAGTTTTTCAATGATTATGAAATGCAGTGTGTGATCAGTGCATGGACTGCTAGCCGTACAAAGGGGCATGAACAAGAGAAAGCATTGGAGTCAGCACAAGAATCACTGCAACTTCTGAATAAGCTCATTGAAGGCAAGAAATTTTTTGGAGGAGAAACCATGGGCTTCCTAGACTTTGCAGTGGGCTCATTACCTAACTGGCTCAAATTCTTAGAAGAATTTCAAGGCATAAAGCTATTTGATACAAAGGAGTTGCCATTTCTTCACGAATGGGCACAGAGATTCACTGAAATTTCAATCATCAAAGAAAGTATACCAAAGATAGAAGATCTCCTCAATTACAGCAGGGCTCAGCACAAAGCCAAATAATGTCAAAGAGGAAAAACATAAAATAAAGTGGTTACAGATAAATTTTCGGCTAAAAATAATGTAAAAGAGGCATGACACAGCCTTGATAGCATATGTTACCTTTCCAATTGACTGTAGTCCTGATATATACGTATAATATGATCCATAATAGGATATTTGACATCTATGTTTGAGTTAAATTAAACAAGAAAATCAAGATATTACACGTCGACAGCGGCACCAGAAAGCAGTTCCTCCACTTTTGCCTCGACCAACTGCTAATTCTTCATCAATGTAAAACCATATAAAGAAGGGATCCTTCGTGCTAGGCTCTCTGTCATCCTTTTGGCCTAGACTGATCTCTAAAGCTTTTAAAGGTCCAACTTTTATCCGGATACACTCGAAGATGAAGGCCAGTATTCTCTTCTTCCAAGAAAATCTTCC